TATTGTAGGTGTAATGATCAGGTGTTCACATGCTTTTGGCCATGTATTGTAGGTGTAATGATCAGGTGTTCACATGCTTTTGGCCATGTATTGTAGGTGTGATGGTCAGGGGTCCACATGCTTTTGGCCATGTATTGCAGGTGTAATGGTCAGGGGTCCACATGCTTTTGGCCATGTATTATAGGTGTAATGGTCAGGTGTCCACATACTTTTGGCCATGTATTGTAGGTGTAATGATCAGGTGTTCACATGCTTTTGGCCATGTATTGTAGGTGTAATGATCAGGTGTTCACATGCTTTTGGCCATGTATTGTAGGTGTGATGATCAGGTGTTCACATGCTTTTGGCCATGTATTGTAGGTGTGATGATCAGGTGCCTGAACTCAATTGGTAGGAGATTGTCCACATACCTTTGTCCTGGAAGTGTCACTATAATGGTCAGATGTCCACAGAATTTTGGCTATGTATTGTAGGTGTAATGATCAGGTGTTCACATGCTTTTGGCCATGTATTGTAGGTGTAATGATCAGGTGTTCACATGCTTTTGGCCATGTATTGTAGGTGTGATGGTCAGGTGTTCACATGCTTTTGGCCATGTATTGTAGGTGTAATGATCAGGTGTTCACATGCTTTTGGCCATGTATTGTAGATGTGATGGTCAGCGGTCCACATGCTTTTGGCCATGCATTGTAGGTGTGATGATCAGGTGTCCACATGCTTTTGGCCATGTATTGTAGGTGTAATGATCAGGTGTTCACATGCTTTTGGCCATGTATTGTAGGTGTGATGGTCAGGGGTCCACATGCTTTTGGCCATGCATTGTAGGTGTGATGATCAGGTGTCCACATGCTTTTGGCCATGTATTGTAGGTGTAATGGTCAGGGGTCCACATGCTTTTGGCCATGTATTGTAGGTGTAATGATCAGGTGTTAACATGCTTTTGGCCATGTATTGTAGGTGTAATGGTCAGTTGTCCACATACTTTTGGCCATGTATTGTAGGTGTAATGGTCAGGTGTCCACATACTTTTGGCCATGTATTGTAGGTGTAATGATCAGGTGTCCACATACTTTTGGCCATGTATTGTAGGTGAGATGATCAGGTGTTCACATACTTTTGGCCATGTATTGTAGGTGTGATGATCAGGTGTTCACATGCTTTTGGCCATGTATTGTAGGTGTAATGATCAGGTGTTCACATGCTTTTGGCCATGTATTGTAGGTGAGATGATCAGGTGTTCACATGCTTTTGGCCATGTATTATAGATGTGATGGTCACGTTTCTACTTACATTTTGACTGCATATTGTAGGTCTAATGGTCAGGTGCCTACATGTTTTTGGCCACATATTGCACTGCTGATGGTCAGGTGTCTCTACTTATTTTGGCCATACAGTCCATACAGTGTATATTGAGAATCATCCGAATGTGTCACTCTGCTGGCAGTCCCATAGAGGACCGATCTGTGCTTTTCATTCCTCATCTGCTGCTTCTGTATATGGCACCCCTGGTAATCACATTGGTGTTTATCTTTCCAGGCAAAACAGGATATTCTTACATTTATTTCCCCGGTTAGGCGGAGAACGGGATCTTTATCGTTATCAGTATCAACATATTGTCTCCCTGATGCGCGGCTTTGCAAATGATCTACTGCAAGTGGCTGAAGCATGATTTTCTTTTTCTTAAATGAGTATCTGATAGTAAAGAGGACGAGATGAGGAAGTCTGCGCTGATAATGCAATTCCATTCCTGACTGCTGACACCCAATGGGCTGTAACATTTGTGTGCTGTGGGAAATGGATATGCGCTACGTCTGTCCCTCTCATTAGGACAATTCACTTTCGTTGTGCTTATTTGGATTTCAGCAGCAGCTAAGAACATAAGAACGTCGGGTCAAACGAACAAAACAAAGCATTCTTTCCTGACATCTAGTGCAGGAGGTTTAAACTGGTAGTGATACATTTATTGCCTAAATTCCTCATCTAAGTAAGTTATTATAGTGGACCTTTCAGTAACTATGTGTCGGTAGGGATACATTCCTGACATGTCACAATATACAGCTACAGACTCAGTATCATTTATTATGAAAGGCTCTTCTGTTTATCATTAAAAGACCACCGCTGAGCTCCAAGTCCAGTGACATTGCCTATGCTGAGATACCGTTATCAGTCTTCTGCGGGCAGGAAGAAGCATTTCCTCAGTCTTCCCTCCCCCAGTGATCAGTCTTCTGCAGGCAGGAAGAAGCATTTCCTCAGTCTCCCCTCCCCCAGTGATCAGTATGCTGCAGGCACGAAGAAGCATTTCCTCAGTTTCCTCTACCCCAGTGATAAGACTGCAACTTGGGTAAAATTACCCTTTAAAAAACGTAGTGTAGCAATGACTCCTATAGGAGCTACTGGATCTTTATGGACTCTCCTGCCTTCCCAAGGGTTACTGACCCTGGAAGGGCACCCAAGGCACTCACTGACCCAACTAAGGCGACAGACAGACTTCAGATCCTTCAACCTTCTTTCTTCCAATGTATTGGTTCAGTTGTCTTGGGGAGAGAGGGTTAGGGTAGAGAATACCGAACATCAGCAACAAAAAGTCTTTGGGCCCATCCTGTCTTCTATCTTCCATCATTATTTCACCTCTGCCACAGATAGGCTGTCAGACTAATGTAGGTTCTGTCGGCCCGGGTGGGCGCCTACCTTTCAGCATCTTCAGCCTCTGCCCCAGGCCAGTTTAGGACACTCTAAGCCCAAATGGGTACCTAGGAGAACAAACCCCCTTTCTTGGCTCTGGCTTCCTCCTAAAGGCAAAAAAGTCTAGGAAGCTGCAGCTAAATCCTACTCAGGCATCACCCTGGGAGGCAGGAATCTTCCACCACTACTTCTCCATACAAAGCCTAGGAGAGAAAGGATCCTTCTAGTCTTTCCAAATGTTTGTATATTGTTTATATGGTTATACATTGTATCTTCTTACCCTATCCACTGGAGAGCATTCAACATGAGCAATGTCCTTGGGTTCAGAAGAAACCAGCACAATGCTCAGGTTGGCTAAAGCCTTGCTGTAAAAAAACTAAGGGGTCTATTCATCAACTTTGGCCTGTGAATCTTTGTGAACATTAATTCTGTTCCAATAGTGGCAATAACTAACGTTCTTAATGTATTTTCTTTTCACAGCAAATGTAATGTAATTTAACACTGCATTATGGCCACTAAATGCAGCTGAGGAGCATAGGAAATATGTAATGTAATGCATTGAGTTGTAAATCCACATTATGGCCACTAGATGGAGCTAAGGAACATACATACTTATTGCCTATGCTCCTCAGCTCCATCTAGTGACCATCATGTGGTATTATAACTCACTACATTCAACCTGAAAGTATACTAAGAATGTTTGTTTTTGCCTCTTTTTTGTGCATAGAATGAACGTTCACAGAGATTTACAGGGCGAATGGCTCTGCCAATTGTTTAAAAAAGGAACCCCTAACTTAGACTAGGGACAATCCACTTTAAAGGAGGTCCCAACAGAAGTAATACATTGTTAGTGTATTTTGAATGCACTTGTAATCTATATACAGTTTAAAGAAACATGGTCATGTGGAATTATATTTTGCCCCCCGGTGGTGTAGAAAACCTACTCAAAGCTCACATAGAAGGATAAACTCCAGCTTCTCCATTCTTGAGCACTAAAGAAAGGTTGTGCCGACCTCCAGCCGCTCTCCCTGAAGTATTCTCGATCCTTTGTCACTGCGACAAGTGTCCTTTTAAGCGCCTCCAATATGTCTGTTTGTCATTTCTCTTGCAGCTCTCGACAGACATGAGTGAGCGATGTGACTTGGGCAATCTCATCTGAAGGGCCGAGTTGTTCTTTTGGAGGAGACTTCTAGATGAGACTCGCTGAGACACTGAATCTGTGTGAAGAGGCCTAAGGATTTAATAGGATGTCAACGGAGACAGAACTTCAAGTGGCTGTGAAAACCAGCGCAAAGAAAGAATCCAAAAAGAAAGGTAATTGTCCTCTTGTTTTGGGAGAAGGGGGGCATAAGGGACTATGGAAGGCGCCATATGAAGGCTGCTACATGTTGACTGATAAGGGTTTATAATGTATCTATAGCGGTGCGTTTTGCTTGGATTTGTCTTTATAATCAGTTCTTCTGTGGCTATCCATACCTGTCAGTCATTGGTTTCATTGTATTACAGCTTTGCCTCCAACAATATTAAAATGTAGCAGAGCCTAGGGGGAAGAATGGGGAGAAAAGGGGGTGGCTTGCTGAGTTTATTGCTTATGAGTGACACACTATCCAGCCAATGGCATGTAGGGAGGAAGAGAATTGTCTGTTCTTGGGCTACATGCTGAAAATGATAGAATGTAACAGACACATGGGGGAAGAGGAGGAAGTGTAGAGCTCAGGGCAAGGAGTCTTGAGTGAACCAATAATTGTGAAGAGAAGGGGAAAGCTCCATTCTGAGACAAAATATCAGCAATGAAGCCGGGCAATTCCTCATTCATGGACACGTCAAATTTGTTTGTCTGCAGTGCTTCTTTCTAAGCAACAATCTATTAGTATATATAGCAGAGGTACAGATGGGTATAGGGGAGGATACAGATGGTAGAAGAGCTTACAATCTATTAGGATATAAGGGAGGATACAGAAGGTAGAAGAGCTTACACTCTATTAGGGTATAAGGGAGGATACAGAAGGTAGAAGAGCTTACACTCTATTAGGATATAGGGGAGGATACAGAAGGTAGAAGAGCTTACACTCTATTAAAATGTATCTGTAACACCACCAACATGGCCACAATCTGCACATTACACTGCATGCTCTGAATCCCTCTTTGTTTTGTGGGTTCAGAAGCATCCCGAGTCATTTATCACCCCAACTATTCACTTTCTATATACACCAGACGGTCTTTATTGTCATACATAGTTATTCTCATGCTGGAATATATGCTGACTGTACAGCACCTGAGTTTGTGATGTTCTCCGGTTGTGAAGCATTCGGGTTTTATAGGACGTTGCACCTGTAGTCTGCGTGATAGATGTCCTGGGATCCGCCGGGAGAAATGTATTTTTGCCTGTCAGCAGCTGACAGGAGCTCCTGGTGATGCCGCTGTACTGGATGAGAATGCCGAGGATTAAACAGCCCAGTGTTCCTGATGGTGCTTTGAAGCAGCGTGGGTGATCTGTGATAGAAGTGTGCCTATATTATCTCTGAATTGGTTTATAGGGCCATTAGAGTCCAGAAGTCCCAACATGCATTGCTGTCTGCGGCATGACGGCCCACACTGTGTAGCACAGAAGAGTCTCATAAACATAATTCAGTGTATTTGGCTTTATTGCCATTAAAGGTTTGTGGGTTCTTCTATTTATAAACAATTTGCAGAGCCATTCATCTGGTGAATCTCTGTGAACATTCATTCTGTAAGAATAGAGATAAAAAACTAACATTCTGAGTATATTTCTTTTTAGGTTGAATGTAACATTTGGAAAATACCAGATTATGGCCACTAGATGGAGCATAGGAAAAAAAAGTATTTATGTTCTATGCTCTTCATCACCATCTAGTGGCCATATTGTGGTATTATGTTACATTTAATTCGACCCTTAAAGGAGAACTATGAGGGGGGTGCTTTTCACTCGCCTCATAGTTCTAGCCGACCTGTGACAATGAGACTGTCACAGGTCGGCTCAGTAGATCGGGAGGTGAACGAACACATACCGGCGTTCGCTCACTTCTCGATCCTGTCACGGCTCTCTGCCGTGACAGGGGAGGCGCTGGATTCCCCCCTCCCCGCTCCGATCCGCCAGCGCTGACTGGCAGATCGGACGGGGGAGGGGGCGAGTACAGCTGGCTCTGCCTCTAGATGTCGGGATCCGCTCCGGCTGCGGCGTCTCAGTATACTGCGAGCTGTAGCTTGCGGTATGCTGAGCCTAGGGTGACGGGACGACGCTAGTTTGTGTCCTCCCGTTACCCTAAGGAGAACTATGGGGAAAAGCCCTGACCCCATAGTTCTCCTTTAAAGAGCATAAACTAAGAACGCTTGTTTTTGCTTCTATGCGCACAGAACGAACATTCTGGCATTCAGGAGCCCCCGAATGCAATTCAGAAATTCATAACCCGAATGCCATTCGGTTCTGGTTGCCCTATACATATATTACTAAATCTGAGGCTTCCAGACCTGATTGGCATTCGGGAGCTCCCGAATGCAATTCAGAAATTTGGATCCCGAATGCCATTCGGGTCTGGGATTCTCAGATGCATTGAACCGTAAAGCACATCTGATTGGCCAGAAAAGTCACATGTCCGATTCAGATTAGTTCTTGAACGAAATTCGGAAACATAAATTCGGATTCGGACACATAGTGATTCGGAAATTTGGATCCTGAATGCCATTCATGTCTGGGAGCCTCAGCTTTAGTAGTAATATCTGTATATGGTTTTTTGTTTTACTCGCAGCGAATATTCGTAAACTTATCCGAAACTAACGAAAATTCGGATTTCGTCTGAATCCGCAACCCGAACCGAATTGAATTTTGGATCCGAATCCCAAATTCTGAAATAATTAAATATCCGAACCAAACTGAATTTTTCCGCAGCTTACGTGTCTATTGTTTTGCAAGCATCAAATAGACATAAAACTGGTATATTTAAAGGCCCAAAAGGGAGCAAATAAGAGAAGGTTTATGGGGGGGGGTTTATGTATATTACAAGTCAGGGGGAGTGACTCAGACCGGTAAGGTACCAGGTCATATCTTTTGATTTGTCATGAGCGACCTGATGCTCGGTATTTGTTGGGCTCTATGTATGATGGTTCTCTTTTTGTTTTGCATGTAATATATGATATACAGTATACAGTGTATATATACTATATATAGTATATAGTAATATACACTGAGTGGCCAGATTATTATGACCACCTGACGTTTGTAGGCAAATGAGCTATAATTTGGCGCTGAAGTTGCTAGAGGGCCAGACCATTATAAATAGGGAAGCGGGTTGGTTACCACGACAGTAGAAGTGATTTGTTTCTGAAGATACGGGGTGTATCTGTTTCTGAAGATACGCGATGTAACAGCCTTTGAACGCGGGATGATTGTTGGCGCTCGGAGCCATGGAGCGAGTATCAGCAAAACAGCAGAATTCGTTAAATGTTAAAGTGTTAAAGTGTTTAAAGACCGGACTGTCAGCCGAAAATCTGGGTCTGAACGTGCGAATTGTGGCCGTCAGCGACTAGTCAATGTTAGGGCAGAACGGGGGAGGGGCAAGACTGGTACAAGACAACAGAAGGGCAACAGTGCCGTGTCAGATTCCTCGCATCACCTTTCATCATCTCGTGGAGTCACGAGGCGGCCCAACCAAGTACTGATGGGGTGGTCATAATAATCTGGCCACTCAGTGTATATTACTATATATATTAGGGATGCACCGATACTAGTATCAATATCGGTGCCGATGCCGAGTATTTGGGCGGGTACTCGTACTCGGCCAAATGCTCCGATGCCTAGCCCGATACTTCCAGTATCAGGAAGCCGGGCAGCACGTCATTACACGCTGCCCGGTTTCCTGATTGGCCAGGAAGCGGCTCCAGGCTCTCTCGTCACTTGTGATGAGACAATTGACAAGAGAGCCAAGTGTGTAATGACGCGCTGCCCAGCCTCCTGAATGGTCGGTAAGCTGACCAATCAGGAAGCCGGGTGCCGTGTAATGACGCAGTGCCCGTCATTCTGATTGTCCGGGAAGCCGGCTTCATGCTCCCTCGTCATCTCAGGATGACGCGGCACCCTGCTTCCTGATTGGCCAGCAAGCCGGCTCCATGCTTTCTCGTCACATAGTGACGAGAAGCATGGGACGGCTTTTTTGTTGATCGGAAAGCCGGGTGGCGAGTCATTACACGCCACCTGGCTTCCTGAATGGGACATGCGGTACTCAGTAATTGGTATCGGCGAGTACTGGAAAAAATATATATCGGTACTTGTACTAACGGTATCGGTGCATCCCTAATATATATCTATACATATCTATCTATAACTATCTATATACTGTATATACTATAGTGCAGTTTTTTCAAGTTAATTTTAGTGCCTAAAAACACAATATAATGCCCATTTTTGTAAAATATAAAAGATGAAGTTATGACGAGTAGATACCCAACATGCCAAGGTTTTTTTTTTTACTTTACCCCATGTGATAGCAGATTGGTAGTGACAGGTCCTATTTAGGGTGATATTATATATATATATATATATTATTACTAAAAGCTTTGTATTTTGGAGGAAAGAAAATAAAACACATAACAAGGAGGCAATAATCCAGAGTCCTCCACAATGCCGCCAACCTCCATGAAAGGATTTCTCCCGCTGACGATAATTGCATTCCTGCGGCCAGTGCTAAAGGGACGATTCGCAGGTCACGACCGGGCCCCGGCATAGGGACAATAGCTGCTGCTACCCTGGCTGTGCATGCTGGGAATTCCGGTTCAGCTAACTCATAGAATGGAGGGGGGTCGGCCCTCACACCTCCTGACTATTCGCTCCAAGGAACATAAGCCAGTAAAGAATATAACGGAACATTGTGTTGCTCTTAAAGGTTCTCGAAACTTTCAGGTTGCTAAGCAACAGTTTATAATGTGCATGAAGAATTAAACATGATACTGTAATTAGCTTGTGAGGAAGATACAGATTTTTTTTTTTTTTCTCCTTCACTTGTACACATTTTCTTCACATTGAAACTTTTTTTAATGCATTTTCTTTTTAAAAATATATATATACATATTAGATAAGCGCCATCGGTGAGATGTGTGATACATAGTTGCCAATATCATAAAATGATTCTGCTTCTGATCTGGTATATGGGAAGTCCGTCTATATACTGCTGCATACAATATGCAATCATAATATATATTTTTTTAAACAGAATATTGATACTCTGATTACAAATTTTTGTATTTATAAGAATTCATATTATTTCATTAATAAAAATACAACTGTGTAAAAAAATACCACA